CGTAACTATTATATTAATTGTATTTGACACTTGATTACAGGATCCAGAAAATAATATAAATTGATTAGGTGCGACAGCCAAGAAATTAGATTTTGATCGTTAATAATATGTCGTAATTTACTAATCATAACTACCAACGTTAAGGATCAATAGTAAGGAGCTCAAAACAGTTGTGAATAACCTTGAGTTTTCGTTTAAACTCGTAGTTAGTCATTTGCTGTTCAACGAGTAACTTAACCATAGTATTTATAAATGAATAGTTTGTTTATGGGTGTATATATTTTCACATACTCATTCAGATGGCGAGCAGTTCTTTCTCATTTAATCTGTTTAGTAGGAATTTAAGTCACCATCAAGTGATCATACTATCAAGTAGACCACATTAATCATTTCAGTATTTTGCCAAACTGATTGCATCATCGTAAAGTGTTGATGATTGGAGAGAAATAACATTATCCAAATACAAAATTGCAAGTTTATGAAAGGTAGTTAAAATGAACTCTCTGACTGTGTACGTCGCAATGAGTAAAATATTCATTACTTTGAATCACACTGTTTTACTTCGAGCAATATAGTTAACAAAATAAGTTTAGAAAACAAACCCATAAGTAATATTGATGCACTAAAATGAAAAATTATTTCTTATTATGTTGATGAGAATATTTCTAACTAAACATCGGATCTAAGAACTGTGCTTTAGCGGTCATACATGATAATGTAAAGTGAATCCTGATTAAAACATCAGGTGGTTCGAAAATTCTTTAATAAATACTCGATTACTTACTGAGTCAAACAGTTAATTTGTGATAAGCATGCAGATATAGTTCTGGTTCTTAAGTTTGATATAAAGACAAATATATTGTTGATCTATTTACTGCATAGAAATACATTTAATTTCATTTGTTTGCAATATAAAAATAGAATTTGTTTATCCTTATGTATTTAACTGAAGACTATAATGTCAGTTTAACTAGGAGAATGTAATCAAGAGAGGCAATATAATCGTACCATTTGATCACAGCATGCTACTGATATTTTCCGAAATGTTTTCATTAAACGCTTTTGTTCGATATAATCCTCACGTAACTTATTGAGGACATATAGCATTCAATACTATTGTCATCTCGGTTAATAGAATATATTAAGTCTTGTAAAATAATGACTTAGTTATATATCATATGAACATGAGCTTAGATAGAAAATTAACATTTGATTACATGGTCGATTACTCGAGGTTACTTTATTGATTTGCCACAAAGTAATACACTCATTTTTTGACTAATTTCATCACATCAATAGCATACATTTCTTGAGGTATTTTATTTCTGGAAATGTAAAATCTAAATCACCCTGCTGTACTATACGATCGTCTGGGGATGATACTAATACGCAAACTTTCTAAACGCGAACTAGAACTAACTGTTTGAGTGGGAAAATTAAGAATGAGCAGGACGCTTTATTAAGGAAAACCCAATTAAGTATTTATATACACTCGTTCATAAATGCCATTTTCCTACAGAAAATATGGCCTAATTTTCAACCAATAGCGTATATCTCTTTCTTTAGAAAGTGATTATTCTTCACCAATAGTGTTCACTTATATTTGGACGACACAGTGTATTATGTTCTCATAGACCTAGAGAGGATTTACAGAGATTGAATTCAATTCCTAAAATATCACTGTTCAAAGAGTGTTTATATTCATTGCTAGAGTTAACTATTACCATTTTTAGATAACATTTTTTGTAAATGAAAGATTCATTTTTATCTTAGGGCTATAGAGTCTATCTTAATTGTTATATAGTTTAACACTTTATAAAACAATTTATTCCTCCTTACTATTCTTGGAGTTAGAACAATAAGCAAAATTTAAAAATAGCAAAGAGAGTTAATAAACTTTCATATACTCGTATCACTTGATAAAATACTGAAGAAGCCTTTGCAGCAATGCTTACGAGAATACTGTTATGGACCTGTAACTTTTATGAATTAACGAATTAATATCCGGATTAGTCTGACTAAGCATGATAAAATTTCACGAAGTTTTGATGACTTACCTTGACACTTATGTTCAACGTGTTTCTAAATAGTATTATGCATTATCTTTGTGTGGTGTAACATAATAACATCAAACAATAACGAATTTTAATTGAATGCAACTTTTAATCTGAAGTGAAATTGAATAAGAAGTGATTGGAAACCATGGAGCACGTTTTAAGATACCTAGATAGTACACATTCTGATGGAGTTTTGTTCTCTGAGCTGGATGGTTTGGTCGTGTATTCTCCATCCTAGTGGGCAGTTGATTGGAGGTCTATATCTTACACTTGTTGGTAGAACATGCTGGCGAAGACACTCATGGAGAAAATATAGTTGTTCTCGAGTGGAAGCCTGCCTTTTGGCGAAATTCTCCCATTTTCGAACAACGAGAAGCGTATAACGCTCATATGATTTTGAGATGGTGGAGACCATCCATCCAGCTCAGAGAACAAAACTCCATCAAAATCATCCACCCGAGCTACAAATCTTCTCCACCATCTCAGTACACATTCATTGTACTACAACTAATGTAATCTAAGGCCTTCATTTTATATGAAGGGCACTTTTATTTCAACATGTGATACTGACCTATTATGTCCTTGTTTAGTCTGTCTTCTAGTCTGTGCCTAGTAATCAGAGAGGGTTGTCTTGATCTGGCTTACGGAATTTAAATCCTAGGTTTCTCAGTAAAACTTTGAGACGTAACACGAAAGTTCGACTTATGAATGAACAGTGTTGAGGGCATATTGACGAAAAGTATCCTGCCACTGACCTGTGAACTGATACGTTGGGAAGTGGAGAGACAGAAAACGATCTATTCGGCACAGAGAATCTGGTTTACTCCTGATTTAACTAACTTAAAATAGGTACATGGATAAATATACGACTGATAAAACTACAACGCACACGGAATGAGAAGGATATAATTTTATCCAAGACAAGACAGAAAAATATGGAATACAAGGATCACGTCTTATTAACGGCAATTTTGGAATAAAATAGAATACGACAGTAATTTATACATCAAATAGAAACTTATGAACAATAGAATAAAACAGGCACTGATCTGAATGTTACCAATTTACAGATTTCTAATTGAATCAAATAATGTTTAAAAAAATAGCTCTTCTTTTTTGTTGTTACTTTTTAATTTCTCTTTGCACATTGACAAAAACATCCGAATTTTGTAAAACAAACCCGAGAATTGCAAACTGTAACAAAATAAAAAACACTCACATATCCTTTAGCGATTAATGTGAAGAGCTCAAAATCGTAAACGGTGATTCATATCCTTTCATAGTTTTATTTTTTTAAAATCATAGTAACAGTATTATTTCAGATTTTCTATCCCATCATTTTACTTGACTCCTTCAAAAATGGATGAACTGTTGTAATAAATGCAGATACCATTATCCGATTCCTTCACTTCCTTACTATGCTGAAATAAAGCATAACTGTTTGAGTCGTTTTATATTTATATCAGGTCGAAAGTTACTTGTGTCAGTCTTTTAATGGTAGAGTTTGTGTTTAATGTTGTTAATAATTTGATTTCTTCAGTCATAGTTAGCTTAATTAATCTTGTATCAGTTATAAATAGAATTACTTTGAGAATGGTTTTCATTATGGGTCAGTAAGTGCTGAATAGTTAATTTATATAGAATAGATAATGGTGACTATAAGATAGTAATTTGTTCACTGAGATACCTATAATTCTTTGATTCAATATTTGCTTTCTTCTTTGTACCCATTAGCTGGATGTCTTAATCAGTTTCTTATGGAAAGCATTTCAAAATTGTAAAGTAATCTTCAGAATTTACCGAAGTGAACGATAAATTTTACTCATGTTACATATGAAATGAGACTTTGTTCATAGTTGAGTGTTAATGTTTCCGATAACTAACCACTAATTAAAATATCAATCATTTTAGACAGTTATTTTTTGTTTCTGGGTAATTTAAGATATCTTAATGTTACATTTTTAATGTCCATTACCTGAAGGTAATATAGTGCTGTATATATCTTGAATGTTCTATACAATCATTTTATTATAATAGAATTAAATCTAACTTATAGCATTCTTTTTATAAGACAGATTTAGAAGAACAAAAGTTGTCCTTGATAAAACTTGCTAAATACTCCATACTTTCACAATTGATTGATCACTGGGTGGTGATCAATGTCATGCTTGTCTAGTCCTTATTAGTGCAGATCGAATGCTATCGATCAAGTTGCTCAGTGGTAACGTCTCTGACTGTGAAGCTGGGTGACACGAGATCGAGTCCACCAGGGAGCACCAGTTCCCTCAAGATTACAGGTACACCTTGCTGACGAGTGCCAAGTAGCACAAAACCCGGGTCCAGGGTTTCCTGTTGACTACCTCCAACTACCATCTAAAATCTAACTCCATACTTTCATTATTTTAAGATATGCATTTTTTTCAAACTTCTAAAATTGTTAATCATAATACAAATTATAAATTATTTTAATAAGCATTTTACAAGAGAAATAAAGACTTAAATCAACTTACTATTGTGGTGTGTGCTATTTATGTCGACATAAGTAGTATATAACGCTAGTCAGGAATAGAATATCTGGCAGCAGAAAGTTGAGAAGATCGAGGAGAAAAGAACGGGAACGGAAAGCAATTGGTATGGAAATGTAGGAACAAAGAAATTTGAGACAATTAATGAACATTTTTCAAGTAGATTGTTGGAGTATGGTTTTTCTATTTAATCAAGTAACTCTGCAATAGGTCCTCAGTTAGTTTAGACTTTGGATACATGGCTAATTTGATTGAAAAATAATGACATTTCTTTGAACTGCAATTTAGTCATTGTGGTTTCATAGCTTTTCATCATCTTCGTGAATATAGTATAACTTTATTTAGATACTTAGCGTATACGTCTACATTAACCATCCGTTAACATTTAAAAGGACCTTGACAAATCAACCAATCGGTGGTTAGTTGTAGATATAGTTACAGTGCATTTTATTTATTTATATCGTTACATATGGAAATAAATTAATTACCCAACTAAAAAATGTTGAAATCGGTTGCAAGTAAGTCACTAGTTTATGGGTTTTTTATTTACTGGATAAAATGTTTAAGTATATCACAGAAGAGTTCAGTCTTCAATATTAAATTAAGACTATTACATGTTTGAGAATGTTAATTCTTTCTATGAATGACAGACAAAGAAATTTATTCTTAAATAACTAGTGAAACTTCAGTAGATCTTATATTTTAAACTTAAATAATAATAAAAATTTTGGTACTTTTAAAATTTCGTTAATAATTGTATATAAAGTTAGTGTTTTCACTTATTGTGCTGCTTTTTAAACAACACGTTACTGTGACAAGTTATGGTTCAGTATGTTCTCTTTCATGATATACACGATCACCCAATTGATAATATCGATAGTCCTATATGGGGAAAAATGGGTACATATCTACAAATGAAAGCAATAAAGTCAATATTTTATTGACTCGATTGTAGGTTTTCTTATTTTAAGTAGTATTGTGGTATGTGATACTGATGTCGATAGATATATGTAGTATGTGTCGTCAATCGAAAGTGAAATGTAGGGAGGCAGAAGGTTAAGTAGATAAAAGAAAAGAGAGCGAGAACAGGGAATGATTGATGTGGAAGCGAAGAAACAATGAAGTCTGAGATGAATGATTGACATTTTGCAAATGAAATATTTAATGTAAAGTTGACCTTTTAATCTTTCATATATAAATGTTCTTAACAAGTATATGTGTGATCAGATTGTTCGAAATGTATTGCGCAAATATATCACATAATTCTGATAAACTACGTCTTCTCATTGCATTATCGTAATGTATAGTTCTTAAATTTCACTGAGATGTTCTGTAATTTTGTATTGAAATACATTCCATTATCCTCCATTGTGTTCCCGTTCACTACGGTATATCAAACAGTAGTAATAGTTGATGAATAGAAATCTCTAATAAAATAATTAACTGTTATTAAAATCCCCTAAGTATATCTAGTTATAATTTTCTCCGTTAAATATATTCGCGATTTCTTAATTGTTTATTTCAGTACGAACTGTAAAGTATCAAAGGTTAAATTCTCGTATCAAAATTGACTATTAATGTAAATCTATTCTGTCCATAATGATTCATCTACAGTCAATAAATTATATACATATCCTATCATTTCACTTGATTCCTTCAAAAATAGATGAGCTGTTATAATAAATGCAGATACCATTATCCAATTCTTTCATTTCCTTACTATGCTGAAATAAAGCATAACTATTTGAGTCAATGTTTACCGTTCTGTGTCAGAAAGTCTGACATAATTTTCACTTAAAATGATGTATAAAAAGTAATATTTTAATAACACCCTGAATTATCTGAAATTTTGGATTTGAAAAATCTTCTATAAACTGCTGAGCATCATCTTTTTAATATTTTCACAACCAAGATGATTTTATAACAATATTGAGAATAATTCATAAGGTGCGCAACGCTTTTTATTTAAGAAATAAAAGAAAGAATTTAAACAATTAGTTCCTTGAAAACAATGAATTCCAGGCTTAAATAATTTAAAAAGAGAACTGTTAAGGTTGATTAGAAGTGTAGACTAATGGAAATCTCTTTAAAGTACTTTGTGCTTATATAATACTTAATACATTTCATATGTATGAACGATGAAAGAATATTTTGTGATTTATCAATCGTTTATCAAATTAATTCTTATTCTACTTCATAATCATTAGTTGTCTTTGCGTATCGTGTTTTGTAGCCCCTTATTATCCTATTCAGGATAATGAAAAACCAAAGCTTTTATATACATCTGCTAATTTCTTGGGTATACCCACCAACAGGGGACAACCAAAAATTGGTACATATCAAGGACCAGAACTTATCCGAAAGTCTAATTTTTTCCAGCTTGTAGCTGAAGATGGTAAGATACAACATTGTATTGGTTTTATTAAACACACATTTTACACAGAGGTGGATGATGGCTAGCAATGAAATCCAGGACGCACGCATTTGTCTGTCCAACATTTCGAAGTTACTTAGTTATTTTATCATCACTACTACTCAAGTATTTACTATAAACTAAACTTTCTGGTATGAGTTTGGTCAGGTACTTTAATATTTAAAACCACCGGTCATAAAAATTGGATGACTATTGTGGTTTGGAGCTTGTGTTATAAACAGTACATAAGTGTGAAATTTATCAGTACAAATCATTTTTATTCTGTTCAAATGTCCTGTTTTCTAGGGACTTTAAAAATGGGTAGATATGCTTATGTATACTATGAAACTATTGATGGTGTAAGGCATCAGGCGTTTTGAACATTTTATAATCAAACACATGGCTTGATAAAACCAAATTAAATGGTTATATACGAAATAATTTAATAATGAAGACATTTTATCTCCACATTCACGAAATCACTGACTGTGTCACGTAGATTGAACAGTGAGACTTATAATTGAAGTTTTCCTTTTTGTAATCTGTCATTCTGAGCTTTATATTTTAAAGATATTTATCTTGTTTATCTTGCTGGTATCATATTAGTGGTTATTATCACAAAAGTGAAATAGCTTTCTCTATTCACCAATACTGAAGGATACGTATAATTTATGTCATGGTTATTAGAAGTTACGATTCAATAATACCTGAATCCTGAAATTCAATGAAACAATATTATTTTCAAAGAATTGCGTTCAGTTTAACATTGAAATACTGCTCCGCGATATCATACGAATCATGAATATGTATAATGTATTTTGTACACGAAACATTGTGTAACTAATTCAGCATGGCTGAATAGATCTCTAAAAACAATTTATTAATCTGTTCTATCAAGGTGGTGTCGTAAGTACGTTACTTGTCTCATGTAACGTGTTATGTTATGTTGCTAAAAAAAACCAAAATAACCCACTAGTGATAGTTATTTCAAATACAATAATTAATGGTAAATTTGATTTTTTTCAAAACTCGAACTCTAGGAATACAGTTAATTGACTGTGGAGATGTTACACCTGTAGAACTAAGTGAAACAGAGGATCCACAACGTTTTGGAATGAAATGGTCGCGGAGTTTCTCATTGACCACTTTAAAAATAGCCGAACGTGTGGAGGGATTAATGAAACAGTCAACCAAACATAATACTGAATCAGATGAATCAAAATCAAGTCCTTTAGTAATTGTTGGTGGTGATCATAGTATGGCGACTGGAACCATACTTGGACATGCTAAAGCTAAACCAGATCTGTGTGTGTTATGGATTGATGCTCATGGTGACATAAATACACCACTGAATTCAGCTTCTGGAAATATACATGGAATGCCTTTAAGTTTTCTAGTAAAAGAATTACAAGACCAAATACCGTGGTTGGACGACTTTGAAGGCATAAAACCTTGGTAAGTTTTTCGTATATATATATATATATGTTCTTCCTTATAAATATTTTATCCTTCAATTGTAAAATCTTAAGCTATTTGTATTTTTTCATTTTGTTAATATAGTTAACAATAAAGTTAATCTAGAGTGTTAGAATAAAATCTAAATACATAATATCCTATTAGTACCTAACACCAAATAATATCCATAGGAACTGCATATCACTCAGATTGTAATGTAATCTATGAAATTAGACATATTATTAAAGAGTTTTACCATCAAAGTATGATATTACTTAGTAGTGTGAACCAATGAACTTAAGCTTAATTGAATTGAGGACCTTTAAACCTTACTGAAATTTATTAGTTTACATTTTGAGCTACAATTATTTCGTAACATTAATTCATGATCACTCAAACACATTGACGATATCTGTCTTACACTTGGACAAAAAGCTTCTTTTTTTTCAATGTATTTTCAAATTAGCAATGTCAATCTATACATGTAAATGCCCGACTATATCATAATAGTTTCAAAAATGTTTAACTTAGACCTTTCTTCTGTTTTCTCATCACAACTGACTTATTATTATTAATGATGTAAAAAATAAATAAATAGAGAAATACATTAATATTAAATTCATCACTTCAATGATCTCTATGAATGCGACTTCTTGTAATGATATGAAGGTAATTCACCTTAGAAAAAATAGATAAATATTTGTTGTTTTTCTTTTCTCTCATCAGCAAAAGTCACATGAATCAATAAAATGTATATGAGATTAGGTTGTTGTTTGTTCATTTGTTTGTTTTTATTACCAAAATTACATAATTCACATTGTCAAAACTTAAATCAATGAAATTATCTTATGATTACTTATCAGATGACAATTACATTGTTCTATATTGGTTTGATTATTTCTGTAATATTAGTCTTTATATATATATATGAAAATTACCTTATAACTTCCTTAATAAATCGTCCAATATTCAAGGACAAGTTAGTGATGTGTTAAATGTGACCATATTGAAGTTAGATTATTTTATTTATTGTTTATTATATAATAATGAATAACAATTACTACCATGGTGATAACAATAATAATGATAATGAAATTGTGAAATGTTTCTATAGAGAATAATTCATTAATTTTTAATTTAACCATATATATATATACATTCATTGAATTAATAAATTGACTAAATTAATTAAATAATAAGATTGTTTTGTTTTTTTCAAAAAAAATAAAACTGATAAAGAGACTAATTTCAATATCGTATAGTAAAGATGTTCAAATTATTCGGCTAATTCAAATGTTTTATAATACAAAATAATATTTAAGTATATCATGTATTGAGATATTTAACAAGATTTTGTAAATAATTTGCACAGGGAAATCTAAGACTTTAATTCAACTATATATTACATAACAGTGAATAAATTTGATGAGTTTGTTTTGTTTTGTTTTAAATATTACTTACTTACTTACTTACGCCTATTACTCTTAATGGAGCATAGGCCGCCAACCAGCATTCTGTTTTAAATATATCACAATCTTAATCGAATTGAACTTTAGTTTTATGTAATATTTTACAGAAACATTTATAGTTCTAAGCTTATTGTGCTGAAGAATTATTTTGATTTAAAAGCCTTAATTGCTATTTGTATTTATGGTTCAATCATATAAAGTGAAGAGTAGAAATCTTTTAGTTTTATTCATTGAAATGACTGCCAGCGAAGTTCTACTCACTGCCTTCTTGCGGCATTACTTTTGTTTATGAAATTGAGAGAAAAAAATCGAGTATCTGGTGATTTAACAAAATCCACTTAGGGGAGCTAGAGAAACCTAATTTCAAACCAATGGTGCACATAGATTCCAGTATCCTGTTGGAAGAAATGGCGTATGGACCTATTGTTGGTCATTGGCTATTATGGGACTGCATCTTCTGACGTTGCTTCACTGTCTTGTGGATTAAATCTTCAGCTCGAAGGCTCCGGATGTGGCTCCCTAAGAAAACCACCTGCTTTGGTTTGGGCACCCTTGGAGTATCATAGCCTACACACAAATCAAGCAACTTGTGTGCTGCATATATATTCGGTACTCTTTTGTGGCAATATTAATGTGTTCAAACAAAACAATAATATTGATAAAATTAAATTTCGAATAAATGAATTACAAATGTACATTAAACAAGGATTTTTACATACTATTTTTGTATGCTTATAAAAAGAGTGAAACTCTAATTTGAAAATAATTTTTTCAACAACATTCAGATTTACATCTTACATGATTATGACTGTTTAAGAATTTACAATCCAAACAGTCATCATTTATAACGTATTTACTGAACCACCAGCAAATGTATCCATGCAGTTAGTTATTCATTTATATAGGTTTGAACGATTACAAATTCTCTGAAAATCTTGATGATAAAAAACACTTTATGTTACTAATGTCTTTATAGGAATAACATTCTTCGCCCGTGTTTATTAATTCATGAAGGTGAAGTAAAAATTATATGTACTAACAAATTAAGAGTATATGTTCATTAATTAAAACTTTTTTCAAAGAAGATAAGTACACATTTAAATGATCAGATTTTTTTAAAAAGGTATACGGATATTTCATACACATAGTGCCCTTTATTATCTTAAATAGAGCAAGAACAAAGACTGTTGCCGAGGGATCAATATCATTACATAAGTAAAATGAAATACAAATTATTTAGTATTAAAATATTCTTGAACCACATGTTAAACACAACAAATTCTGAACTAATTAAAGATTGAATTACTTATTATGAAAATTTTATTTATACAGTGTGAAAGTTATTTCATTTGTATTAATTAATCATTAGTAATAAAAACAAAATGTTTCAAATTCATTGTCCTGTGAATTTATTTCTATTAGTATTTGGCAATCTACTTATATTATTTGATTTTCTAATTTTATTAAGAATGATAAAATGATCTTATTCAACAAATTTTGTCAATAATGAGAAATATTGAAAAGAGCAAGAACAAAGATTCTAGCAGAATAGTATGAATCCATTCTATTTCGATGGTTTACATCAGCTGCTAACAACCTGGGATATTTAGTAAAACATATTCACAAAAATGGGTTTAAATTACTTACATGAAAGGTGTTGTTTGGAAGTTATGTTGAAGACATATTAGTACAGTATAGCAATGATGTAAATAAATTTACTAGACTGAAAATTTTAAATATATACCTTATGTGAAAGAACATCCTAAAACATTATGACAATAGTTTAAACGGCCAGATACAAGTGATTGTATAATGAGTAAAGTTTGATGGTAATAAAATGAGTAGATTAGTGAATGATTAGTAAGCAGCCAAACTTCAGTCTTCTGAAGTTCACTGAAGCCGTTGCTATCAGACGCGAAAAACCTGACTTATGTGTTAAAAAGGAGATGGTTATTGATTTTTCCTTGCCTTAGTGACAAATGTTCTTACGTTGCATCTCAAGCTTTTTTTAAATTCTTTCTTGCATTTATTATATCATTGAGTTTTATTTCAACTATCTTCCAAATCAGTAATCTTATTTTATCAACTGAACTCTACACATTTTGCTCCTATCAACATTTACTCACTATGTAATCACTTGTTTCTGGCCGTTTGAACTATTGTCACAATCAATGTTGTGCAATATTCTTTTACATCAGGTATATATTTACAATTTTCAGTCTAGAAAGTTTATTTACACCTTTATTATACTATACTATTCTGCTAGAATCTTTGTTCTTGTACTTTTCAAAATTATTAAGGGAACTATGTGTATAAAATTAGGCTTATGAATATATGATGGTGATTGTACATATTTCATTATTTAAATTAATTATCTAAGCGTGGAAATTTGTTAATTCAGTGGTATTAATTTAAATGATAATTGACAGGTTTACTGAAACATTTTATGTTTTACGAAAAACATAAATCCAGAACATATAATTCTTGTCTTTTTGGGTATTTAATAAGAACGTCTATTGTACTAAACACAAATTAATGGCGTCTTATATTAGGTATCAATGCATATATATAAAGAGGAGTGAACAAATGAACAAATATTTAAGAAATTTGACCAAGAATCTCTCAGTCAAGGTATTGCAACTAGGGCCTATGGCGAAGTTATTTAGAGAGAAGAATTGGTATTATTCTTTTCAACAACAGCGAAAGCTCTCCTTTGTATTCAAAAAAGTAGAACATTACTCGCACCAACCTTGTTCATGCCACATATTTTAGAAATGAAACGAGTTAGTGAATATTCTGTTTATGGTTGTGGAGGTTGCTAAATTTCGTTGAAATCATGAACCGACCAATGTTAGACTATTATTGAAAACCTAGAAGCACTGGATGGTTGTTTCGTTCTAGTATGGAACATGTCAGCAGTGCCCATCCGTGATCCCGCACGCGAAATGCAAACCCAGGACCTTCGGTCTCGAGTGAACGCTTAAGCTCTAGACCACTGAGCTAGCATCCATGCATACTGTCTTGTTGAAGTTTCTTCTAAGGAAAAGTATGTTATATTGTACAATAAAACAAACAGTAATTCTTACATAACCTTAAAACATTTAAAATAATTTTTATTAGGTATTCAGTTTTTCATAACAATATACAATTAGTTGTTTAGATGACAATTTTCAGCATAAAAACTAATGACAATTAAACAACTAGTGTGAACTAAGTAGTATTAAGCAAGGGTTTTGTACTTATTCGAAATTCCTCACTAATGAACATCAATTATGTATTCCACACTGTACTTTCATATTTTGTCCAGAATTAGATAACTTTATTTCACTATGTTAAAAGTTATTAGTCGGTATTTTCAACTTTAAACAATTTATGACAGTGTCGTAACATGTTTTGTCTGTTTTAAATTGGTGTATACTTAACATTTACTTGGAATTCTTTGTTTCTCATTTCTCATTTTGCAGTCTCAATGCCAGTAATATTGCCTATATTGGTTTGCGGGATTTAGATGCTTATGAAACGTAAGTAAGCCACCACAAGTGCAAAGCATTAAAAAGAAGTAATTATCTTTTTTTGTAAGCTAGTATGAGAAACATTTGTCCATAAACACGCTATTAGACTGTGCATAAACTTGGACTCAATTTAAGTATATATATATATATATATATATATATATATATATATATATATATATATATATATATATATATATATATATAATGCAGTCACTATCAATTACTGAGAATTTATAGATTTGTTGATTAATTTGTGCTGATATCTGGGGCCATTTATAGAAAACCTGAAATCATCTTCCATCTCTCACTCTCAAATGCCATATCACAAACCTAAAGAGAAGCAGATAGCAGACTGCTGTGTTATTAAATCTTTATTTTAGGAAAAATACAGTTGTCTCTGGTATCTAATTTTGTTCAAACTGTTGTACGTTAAATACATCATATGTATCTTTATTGGTACAACTTCCTTATTCTGCTCATTTGAATTTCTGTAGCTATTTTAAATAAATAAACTGGTTTTTACAATCCCACTCCCACTCACTCTTTAGTTGTAAACTGTATGATAGTGAGATTAAATACCACAGTATATTTTGAATTCGTCGAGTTTAAACAGCAATAATAAGCATTCTCAAATGTTTGCTCAAATTATTTGAAAGACCTTGTCTTTTTATTTTTTAAGGCTCTTATGACTATTTTGTAAACGATCACCAGCTCTATTAAGATTTCGGCGAGATCCTAATTAATGGAAGAACCAATAACGTTTAAGATGTCGTATCTTGAATGTTGGTTCAAAATCCATTTATTTATATGACTAAATAGTTTTTTCGCATCATAGATGATGTCGGTTCGTTATGAAAACCCTAACTCTAATTCCGAACCCTATCTCCTGACCCTAAGTTCCGATTTTGATTTTTTGCATCAATTTATAACCCTCTTTTGACACTGGTAAGTAGGCGGTTCTTATCAAGGTCGCTTCGGCGACGCTCAGAGGTCGTCCATAAATTACAGTCTCACAAAACTTCCTCATGTAAAGAATACATTATCAACCAAGTGAAAAGAATCTATCTTCAACATTTGAAGCGAGAAGTTGACACTGAATAGCATAATCGCAACTTCAAATAAAAATTTGCTGTAAGCTATTATACGAGTCGACTAGTTTAACAAAAATGTATAAAGTAGGACAATATGTTTTTCTAATAATTCTTTAACTTCAGATACTGCTATATACTATTTCAATAGGATGGGTCAAGGTTCACCATTAAGTTAATGAAAATGATCAATGTAGTGTACTGGTAATTATTCTTTCAGATGAAAAGCAATACGTTCATTAAACAATTACTTATCCGAACCTAAAAAATGATTACATTTCACATGTATCCCGTGCTGCTTAGACAACAACAGCGAGATCATTGAAGCTATATGGAATAGGTGTGTCACAAAAGCCGGCGAAATCACTTTAATCAACTCTATACAAATCAAGGGATGAAATGATCTAATCTACAAAAGTAACTGTTCCATTTGCGAAAAACACTATACCAGACAAATTAGAGCATCAGTTAGAGGTTAAACGCCATGATATATTTTCGCTTATATCAGTGAATGTGGACAACTGTGGACGCACATCCGATTGAAAAAAATGTTGAGATCCTGAAGTGCAGGCATATCAAGAACAACGGGGAATTTTTAGAAGCTTGGCGCTCAGATCAATCTAGAATCAACAAGCACTTCGAACTCGGTCCAATCTATCAACCAATCAAAAAATTATGTACATACGTAAGACCAAGAATCGGATCAAAAGGAAACACCAGAAAAATAACGATAAGCTAACGATAATAACGATAAGCTAGAGGCCAACAATAGCCAATCCAGATCGAAGTCGACAGGACAAGCTGTGAGTCATATTTGAAGAAATTTGAACATTTCCCTTCTACCTGAATTTTATGTTGATGACGTCGTTCAGAAGAACAATGAAATTTCCACAACCAAACCATCCATCCTAAAGAATGAAACTAACAAAAAAATACTATTTTCACTATCTCTTCAGATAATATTATTCTGTAGTATGAATTACCTTCAAACATACTTACTGCAAATTAAAAAACGCCTGATACTATTATTCTTATTCTTGTAGACATGATATTAGAAAACATGGCATTGCTTATTTTACAATGCTGGATGTTGACCGAATGGGAATAGAAGCTGTTATTAAAGAAGCATTGCAAGCAGTAAATCCAAGGTTATTGTTTTAACTGTATTAAATAGCAAAATATATATACTATGGTTCTCTGAAATTTTATGAATAACTTAACATTTAGTTAAACATTCGTCTCCAAAATGAAGTTTATTATTCAAATAATTTGCCTATGGTGTTGATGATGTGTCTTATACTGGACGTGTGAATGTAAGTGTTCATATTTGTTAAAAATTCACGCAACATTTACCCAAATATGACATGAAGATATCGGATTCCAACAACTATCCTAAGTTAAAAGATGGAATATTGTGTTTGGATTAATCGGTTTTATGGATATCGTCCATATTTGGCATGTGTTTGCTAAATTGACTGGTTATTGGATGTTCGTTTACATTTAGTAATAACGGTATTACTTATTCTGAGAAAAAATATCACTTAAAGACATGGAAAATTCCTGAAAACACTTCACCCTGGAATGCTAAATTTCTATGTTTAATCTATGAGGCCTTAGACCTAGTTTGACACGATTTTACTGATAGGAATAGTTGATAACAAAAATTAAAGTATTAAGTTAATTATACTCATAACGATGCCTTATTGTTTCAAACGTTCAACCGTCGGTCATTGGGTGGAAAATCAAGTTCTGAGCAGCAAGATCGTACAACTAATCCTTATAAAACATGTATAACGCAAAGCCAACTATGTATTTAATAAGTGAGTTTCACCAAATTAAATTAGGGAAAGCATGAGATTATATTTTGAAACAACTACCAATCTATTATTAATATTTCTGATTTATGATGACTCTAATTAAGTCTATTTAATCTAATTCTGAAGACTTATTTCATATAAAGTATGTTAATGTTTGTTTGTATACGAGTAATCACCATCTTTAAATCATTTTCTCCAGTGTGATTATAATATTATACTATCGAGTAACACATCCATTCGGTTATTAAAAGCGCTTTTATTAAATTTATAGGTATTTTTATCATAATTATATAATGTATGCAAATGTACAAATGTACGAATATCACAAAACGTTTGAGATATGCCAGTACTATAGAAGATCTTCACGACAATCTGTTATTACTAACAGTTAATCAGAACGTTTTTTTATCAAATAATACGAAAATAGTTTTAACTAAATGAGTTAGCTGCGAATGTAGGTAGTCTGTAGGAAAACTTCAAATTGGAATTTCAACAAAAATGGCGCACCATTTACTTTAAAGAATAATTTGTGTTTTCATTTGTGACGAAATTCAAGATAAATTCGCTTCATTCCGTTAAAATGTCATGATTGGTCTTCTTTACAAAAACCGCGCCAAAATACATTTTTTACAGAAGCAACAAGTTAATAACTGTTGTAGATGGTATGTCGAAAATGTTGTTTTAGATCGTTAGTTTAGGAATGAAATATATTCACTAATCTTGAATAGTAGAAATAAGTTCTGAAGTAAAATAATATAAGAAAACTTAGAGTTCAAATTGACTTTCTTTCAAAAATAACTTGTAGTAAATGATTATAATCGGTGCCAATTAGAACAATCTTTGTTTAGAAACCGTTTAGAATACTTAATGAAGTAACACTACTTAAGTAAATTTGATTAACAACCCTAAAAGCCTGACATATTAGACGAAAGTGAGATAATTCTTTTAAAATAAACAAATCGAGCTCATTTCCACAGCTGGATTCACGAGTCAGTCTCAGCTAGGCCACCATTGAAGACCTGGAAGCAGTGGACGAACGATTTGTTCTAGAAAGGGACTCTACAGCAGTGCGCATCCACGATTTCGCACACGGCCTCGAACCAAGGACCTTCGGTCTCGCTTGCGAACACTTAACTTCTAAACCACTGAGCAGGCATCCAACCATGTTAATGTCCAACTTCAATTGATCCATGATCTTTCACAATCCTTTATCCATTGTCTGAGATGGATAACTACCTCACACTCAATATGGATTGTACTTCACTGGTCATGGATTCTCAGTAGAACGCCAGGAAATTCATCTTGAAGCTATTCACTGCTGACCATATGATTATTATCAGTTCAGGGATTTGCAGAGATTGTACAGAACAAAGGAAAAATTTTCTCTTTTTTATGTTGGGCTTCCAAATATTAGAACTGTTAAATGTTTTTAGTTATTTACGAATATTTTCCTGTTTATTGCAATAGGACTCATCACTCACAAAAGAGATACCTTGATAATACATGTATTTAGATCCTGCGTATTTTTTGATATCTTATTCAAGTTTATCCAGCTGATAAGAGGAAATGCTCATCCAGGATTCTACTATTAGCCATTACTGAAAATAAGATTTATCTTTTAAAGTTTTAAATTGGTGGCTGAAACTAAGAAATTAGACCATCGATTTTGAACATTTAACAAATTTTTGCAGAGATTTGCATAACAAGTTTTTACGAGTTTGGAGAGAGTTATTTAGAAAACCGTTCGTCAACTCCTAAATAATCTTTATTTTCAGACTGTCTTAATTATTAATGTGACCGAGAAGTAAAATGTTTGCTTGGACTCATATACATTATGCTGTATTCTTATCAAGGTTTTGATAATTATCGCTTCTGAGTTCCCAATTGAATATGTATTTGTAGGACCTTGAGTTTGAAATTCCGGGGATCGAAAATTTATTAAAAAAATTACTAAGTATAAACTGTCGTCAAAGAGCAAAACCCTTCTCCATCTACTCAAATGGAATCATGGATAACAGATTTCATTGAAAGTAAATTAACCTACTTTTCACTGAGTAGTAGTATATGAAAGACGATATTTAACAACGTTAATCAATAGTAAGCTCTTGGTCGACAATTATTTTGCACTTATCGATTTTCAGTGTCCGTCCCCATTTGAGTACTATTGATCACGTAAATTAAATCCAAATATAATTATTACTATTATTTGAATTTCACGAGCGTCTCTATCGTACTGAAAGCACTGTGTACTTTATTATTTTTAGATTGGAGAAAGCTATTCACTTGAGTTTTGATATAGATGCGCTGGATCCTTTAGTAGCTCCGAGTACTGGCACTGCTGTTCCAGGTGGTTTAACATTACGTGAAGGTTTAAGAATATGTGAAGAAGTTTCAGCGACAGGTAGTTTTTTACCTTTTAATATTACTTGCTACGAAATTACGATTGCTGTAGTACTCATTAGTAGTATGTCTGAAAATGTTTACGTAGTGTTTATGTAAATTGAAGGAAACTAAAATATATTTAAAATTAATTGAGATTAATAAGTACCATGACGAATCATCGACAGTTTCACTATTTAGTAGTTAGAAAATTATCTAATGTCTTATAAGTATCGTTGATTATTTTGTGAAGCGGAAATAGAAACTGGCTTAATCGTTAAAGAACTAAATTATTAACTCCTTTGTCACAAATTTGGTATTGTTGTGGTGTGTGCTGCTAATGCCGATAGATATAAGTAGTATATCTCATCAACCGAAAGTGAAATAAGTGACGGGAGAAGGTTAAGAAGATTGAAGAAAAGAGAGCGATAATAGAGAATGATTGGTGTGGAAATGAAAAAACAATGAAGTCTGAGACGATTGATTGATATTTTGCAAATGAAATATTTACTGTGAGGTTCTTAGACATTTTGTAATTTTATGTTTAAATGCATTTGGTTGTCCCCGCTTGTGCTCTCGTTCACTACATTGTCTCAAATTCTAAGTATATGTCACTTTAACATATCTTCATAAAAATCTTTTTACTTCATATCTGTGAGCGAGGACCGATAGTCAATTACTGAGGTTTCTTTTATCAGTCTCAATCAATTTTTAAAAATTCGTCTCCATAGAACATTCAAACAGTAATTAAAAGGATATCAACTTTTCGAATAATTTCTAACCTTGTTATTATATCTGTGTAAATTTAAGCTAGCAGAAATAGGAATCGAAAAAAGGATCTTCTGTGGTTTCAGATTGTGTATATAAATAAAAGTTAATTGATGAAATCCAGAAAAAAAAGTGATTCAGCTTTGAACCCGTTAACAAAACGATCTATCTAGCTGGTAAACTATAAAAATATTCTGTCTTAGAGATCTGAGCATAATTAAGCTTACATCGCAGAATAGTGAAGTGACAAATGCTAAGACTAAATGCAAGTTTCTAAGTAGGCAATATATTTGCATTGGATATGACTGTTGAATTGTATGTTAAGGAGGAATTATCACCACCTGACATGATAGGTTATGCTTAGTAGACCATGAATAAGCTGGAGGAAAACGTGAGATTTCAAAACAAAAACATTGGTTAATAATATAATAATATGTGTTTCATACTATGTAGAGAAAGATTAGTCTTCTAGTCAGTTTTATTGATAATCATTATGATTTATGATTTTAAATGGCATGGTTTAAATTCATTACCACTTTCAAAGTTACATTTATTCTGTATCTTTCTGAACATATTCGTTTCATATTCATTCCATACTTTCCATTCTTTGGTTAGATTTATTCATTGAAGGTTCTATATCTTGTGTTTAACTCCTCACTAATGTCAATATTATTACATATACTGCTTTGCTTTTCATTTTGTTAATTTATTCATCATAGTGCTGATGTGAGATGTAGTCATGTGCACTGATGTAAGCCTTCATTTGGTCGTTCATTCATGATATTTGACTAGTTGATTTATAATGAATGTATGTGAAATTGGATAGCACATCTATTGGTTTGTATGAGGATATTTATCACTGAATGATAACTTTCATGAATTACCATCATTTTTAAGTGTGCAAAATATTTTTTTGTCTTAAAGCTGCTGAGTCCTATTTGGGTTTGTATCCCATTCATGCTTCTAACTTAATAGAACAATGAAATTTATTTAAAAACTAAGAATTGGTGATTTTCATTTCTGTTACTTTCAAATATCTTGATACAATAGACTACAAGTATTTTTGGAACGTTGCTATAGTGATTGAAATACAATGGAATTCATTTGAACTACAAAGTGAGCACTCATCCTAATACATTTAAAATGGCACAGTAATTTATTGTCAAAGAAAAATACTGATCTAACACTTGAGAAACGTAATGTGTGAAATTCTCTAGATTTTCGTTGAAGACACTTATGATTTTCTTACTAAATGACTTAAGTATGTATCTCTATATACATACATATAATATGCAATATCTAGTGTATTATGTATTTCACTTTTTTGCAGGAAAACTTTCTATAGTTGAATTGGCTGAAATAAATCCCTTATTAGGATCTAAGGAAGATGTTGTAAAAACTCAATCATCCGCTGTTCAGATTTTGAGAGCATGTTTAGGCCATTGTCGTTCAGGTCATTTACCATTCAATGTTCGTAATTTAACTGATCAAGGTATTATTAGTCGGATGGCACATATGCAGACAAAACAATAATTATTCCTGATTCTCTAACAGTTACTGATTATCTTTTATTATTATAATCATATAACTCATTTATCAATATTATTATTATTATTATTATTATCAATATATAGCATTACAATGATTTGTGTATTTTTTAAAAATATTATATTATTTATTTGTTGTGTTATTACTTCTAAACTGACTTACATTATTTGAAGAAAATTGATGCAACCTAACTATTTTTTGTTTATTAGTAAAGGGTTGTGGAAATTGTTGAGTTCCATTGAAACAATGAACCAGTTCATGTTATACTACTATTGAAAACCTGGGAATACTGAACGGTCGTATCATTATGGTATATGGTTTCTCAGCAGTGTGCGTCCATGGCATCATAAGTGGTGTCACCGGAGAGAGTGTCTAAGAAGTTGATAAACAGAGTTCAAAAACTCTTTGCTGAATCAAGTGACAAAGAAACTGAGATGAATTTAGTTACATCCACTTTGATGATGGATAATTATCCTAAGTACTTTATACAAAGAATAATTAAGAAAGAAGGCCAAAACTGTAAGTTAAAAGATATACCAAAAGAACGGGTCAAAACTGTTGTGATCGCATATTGTGAAAGAACTTCAAAAGCGATCAAAAGGGTCCTAAATCATTACGATATAAAAGTAATCTTTCAAACAAATAATGCTTTAAACTGTTAAGAGTCAGAAACTAAAAACGAAAGGAGGAACAACAAAATTGTTTATGTAAGATCAAATGAAGCGACTATAGTGCTATATATGAAGGTGAGATTTCATGGCAGCTGGATTTGAGGTTGGAGGAACACAGACTTTGCTTAAAGTATGTTCTTAAATCCTTAAGAGACCTAAAAAAAGCTGGGAAACAAGTCTGATATTGCATTGGACTCAACAGAGTCTGGTCATACAATTGGTTTCATTGACACAAGAATTGTCGAAAAACGTTTTAGCTCATACAAGGAGAGAATAACATCTGAAGCCCTAGACATATGGGAAAATCCGAACAGTGTTAATAGGTTCGCTGGAATACAGTTAGCTGTCCTTGAAATCCTTACTACATTTTATTCCATTTAATTCATCCCTTACTATGTGAACATCAACGATTGTGGTGGACCAAACAATATATGAACTCAAAAATGATAAAAGAGTTATTAGGTACAAATAGTAATGTTAATATGTATCAGTTAAATGTTATAAACACAACAAAACTTAGAGACGTTACTTAATTCAGCAGGTTTGTACGTGTTCTGATTGAGTCTGGTACCAAAATCCACAATTATAGATGATTGAAGATTCCAGTAAGATTGATGTCCTCCCAGTGGTATAACCAAACGTAGAATATGATATATTTCAATTATAGTCTATAAATGTAGACGGTATTTGATTTAGAGTTCAGTTAACACAATCACGAGCGAATGCGGAACAAGAGGTATGTGTGTAACAGTGTATTTGGTAATACGTGACAGCGTGTGTCATGCTATGAATGTAACACGACGGAAGAAAGTGTGTTCAAGGTCATACACTTAACAAATACAATCATTTAATGATAAATGTACATGCAGTGAAAAATTGACAGAATAAATACAAATAACATCAAAAACCATTTACAAAATAAGCATGTCATGAATATCTCCACACGATTACTTTCACGTGTTTTAATCAGCTTGTTCATCTGAATATATGGTGAACTATCAGCTTGGTTAACGTAACAATACAGACGTTTATTTGTTTACTTATCTTCATTCTGTTAATGCTGTTACATGCTTGACTCATATCATCTATATAATTGTCTGTTTTCATCAAAACATTGCTGATCAAAGGCGATATATAGTCAATGAAATTTTCCCCCACTTTGAATCCACTTACCCTTACATAGAACTGTTATCTTAACACACTTTTTTTACACTTTTCATATCAAATGTCTCCTACACCCTCCATCAAATTCTACTTTCAACATTAATAATATGACTGAATAACTTGTTTATTACATAATTAACTATAGAACCATATATTTGTATTTGATAATTTTGATGTTTGACTATATTTCTTTGAAAAAGTAAGGATCCGTTTGCCCAACAAAACACTGGATTTACTCAAAATTTAATTTCTAAGAATTTTACAATTATAATTTCATCATTAATATCAAAGTTTCATAATTGGAAACTTGACAAACACTACTTTATTATTTTTAATATTAGTTTTATTCAGTATTATGTTATTGGTACAACATAGAATTTTCATCACAAAGTATTTCAGCGGGTTCACGCTTATTATTTCTTGATCTATATTGCCGATAAATATTGAGTGATCGCTAGTTAGATATTAGCAGTTCAGGAATCGACATCTGAATAATGTACACGCTTTTTTGATGCATAGTGCCAGCAACCACGATGTCCCTGATTTTGGACTTTGGTGACTTGTACAGCGAAAGGTTGTACACCTTTCAGAAACGCAACTGAATAGGTTCTGTATTTAATTGACATAATAATCTGTTAAAACAAACAAGGAAACAAATAACTTATTCAAATATATAAATGGCAGGAACAGGTAGCCCAGATATTCAAGCAGGTCTCCAGTGATGTTTTTCCTTAAACATATCATTTCTTATTTTATGCATACAGAATTCACTTAACATTAACTTAATTTTACTATGCCTGAAATATTACTGTTACTGAATACTCAACAATTACTCATGCATTGGTTAGATAGGTTAATGAAATGATTAAACCTATGATGGAGTTCCCGTTTAAAATGTTGATCCTTTATTTATATCATTTAATCTAAAACAATTAAAACAGTTTAATTTTCTAGAACTTTCATCTTGGAAAATGTCAGTAACTGATCTAAGTCAAAAATGTATCTTACACATTTCGACGTAGTTTGACCAGGTTATTCCAATGTAGCAAAGTATTTATTATATATATATAAATGATTGTTGTATGACTGGTAGTCGACGATAAAAAAGGCAAAATAGTAATTTTATTTATCAACTTATTTTATGATGATATGTAGTTTATATGTATATAGTTTGATAGTGATTAGTTTAAGCAACACTGAAAACTTACTTACTTACTTACGCCTGTTACTCCCAATGGAGCATAGGCCGCCGACCAGCGTACTCCAACCCACTCTGTCCTCCGCCTTCTTTTCTAGTTCCATCCAATTCTTGTTCATTTTTCTTGTGTCTATCTCCATTTCTCGGCGTAATGTGTTCTTTGGTCTTCCTCTTTTTCTTTGGCCTTGAGGATTCCATGTGAGGGCTTGTCTTGTGACGCAGTTGGGTGCTTTCCTCAATGTGTGTCCTATCCACTTCCAGCGCTTCTTCCTGATTTCTTCCTCCTCTCGGATCTGGTTTGTTCTTTCCCACAGTACGTTGTTGCTAATAGTGTCCGGCCAATGGATCCGAAGTATTTTGCATAGACAACTGTTAATAAACACCTGTATCTTCTGAATGATAGAATTCGTAGTTCTGCAAGTTTCCGCCCCATACAGTAGAACTGTGTTGACATTTGTATTGAAAATCCTGACCTTGGTGTTGGTTGACAGTTGCTTTGAGTTCCAGATGTTATTCATTTGTAGATATGCTGCTCTTGCTTTGCCGATCCGCGCCTTCACATCTGCGTCAGATCCACCGTGTTCGCCAATACTGCTGCTCAGATATGTAAAAGTTTTTACATCTTCCGAAGCTTCCCCGTCGAGTTTGACTCGATTGTTGTATGCTGTATTGTATCGGAGAATCTTGCTTTTCCCTTTGTGTATGTTGAGACCTACTGCTGCTGAATCTGCTACCTCACTGGTTGTCTTCTGCATTTTTTGTTGTTGCGTGTGCGGCAGGAAAGCCAGATCATCTGCGAAGTCTAGATCGTCCAGTTGCATCCTAGCTGTCTACTGTATCCCATGCTTCCCTTCAGATAATGACATCTTCATGATCCAGTCGATCCCCAGGAGAAAGAGAAAAGGTGAGAGTAAGAACACTGCAAACTAGAGTGAACCTAAAAGCTATTTCTTCCTCTTAAATTATTTTAGCCTAATATAAAATACTTATTTCTTTGCTAATTGATTTTAGTATTCTCCAGGTAGTGTTAAATAATAGTGAAAGTTCTCTACAAATCATAAGATTTATCCAACCGTATCCTTAGTGAGTGAATTTTAATTCTGAATTGATCTAAGGATATTATGATAAGATGAGCAAAATAATTTCGTAACAACTATTTCAAACACTATACAAAGCATACTAGAAATTTTGCTTGTTTAAATCAAACAGCACATTAAACGGAACTAAGACTTCCGACAAAAGTTTTTTTAGTGTAATTAGGTAACACTGCTAGTAATGCATGAGTTAACAGTTATGTTTGTCGATGAAAAATAAAACGGTGAAATTTTTAACTACTTTATTATTTGAAGATTATAATACGAATATAAGTAAGAAGTTTTGTCAGTAAATAAATTTGTATTTAGTGTCGGTAACAACCTTATTATGTCTACGAAAGTAACTAATAATTCTAATCTCATTTCTATCTAGTTACCAAGATGACAAAAAAATATGTTCAAGTTGAACGTAACAATGAATCAGTTGGATCTGTTATATATTTAATATATAATGTATAATCACTATTACTCTGTTTCAATCATATAAAAGAATTTATAGTAAAATCTGTACAAATCATCAAGAATTGAATGTTAAAGATAATGGTACATACAGTTTATAATATTTCAGGATCAGTTTTTCACTTAGTCCTTAATGATGAAGTGTTTGACTCCCGAAATCAGGTTTACATTGATTTAATATGAGTAAATTTCACCAGGATCTCATATTTGTCCAATTATTTCATATACGTTATCCATTTTGTTCGGAGAAAGAATAAGATAAGGTAGTTCATTGATGAACTTCCCAAAACATAATAATAGTTGATTGAAACGGATTTTGTGTCGTCTTCTTTAGTGTTATATGTTGTAATAACACTTACCAATAAACAGATATCAATATAAAATCAAAGTTGTTAAATTGACAATGTAGTTTTCATTAGCTTAAACGTATGTTTAACATAGAATATTTATAGGATTTGCGCAGTTATCGAGTTCAGGAATGAACCTGTTTTAAAATGATCAAAACAACACTGTATATTTCACAGGTCACACAAATCTTTAGTCAAACATATCTTGAATAGTTGTACAACTTTTTCAAGCCTTTTAACTTTGTATCCTATACTACTTGTCATGTTATTTAGTAAGCATCGGCATTTTGAATAAAATGTTTAAGTAAAATAACTTGATTAGTCTTAGAATGAGATTGTTTACCAGTAACCATCGACGTTTGTTATTTCTTATCTTGTGATATACATTTAAATACGAAATGTTCTTTTAATGGTTACTGCCCCCAAATGCTCTGGTACGACCGAGAGTGAGAAGAGTCAGCTCTCCCTCTCGAAATGCTCTCACATGGTCACGTGCATACCACCACTGTCAGGGAAGTCCTACTCACTACCCTCTCTCAGGCAGCGGTGTTGTTTAAGAAACTGAGAGGACGAGAGGCGAATTCCTGGCACTTTAACCGGATTGATGGATACGGAGGATCCACCTAGGGAAGTCGAAAAACCATGATTACAAACCGATGGTGCACATGGGCTCCAGTATCGTGAAGGAAAAAATGGCGTATGAACCAACTACTACCATGGGAACGCATCTCCTAATGTTGTCCCACTGTCTTGTGGATTAGACCTTTAGGTCGATGGCTTAGGGTGTGGCCACTTATGAAAACCACCTGCTTCGGTTTGGGCAACTAAGTAGTATCACAGCCTTCACGCAAATCGAATGATTTATGTGGCGCATGTCTATTTCGTACCTCCTTGTACCAATGTTTATTTGTTAAAATAAATAAATAAATGGTTATTACTGAAGTTTAATGGCTGTGGAATAGAAATATGACCTGAAATCCAGTACGTTGTAGTTGATCAGAGCTGTATGACAATCCGCTAATATTGATTTGTATCGCACAAGAAATAAATTATTTCAGAAGATTCCAGCGCTGTAATTTTTCATATTTTATCACAGATGCAAGTAAATAGAAGTTGGAATGTCGAATACTCGTGAAGTTATCCAGAACTGTGATTTCAGCTAATTATTCCTAAGATTGATATTCCCTTCCTATTCGTTTTATTCAGTATATATGTGAATGTTCAATACTTGATGTTAATATTATTACGTATTCTCATCTTAGTTTGCGATTCATTTTCTTCATATCCATCGAATGGACCATTTTGTTTTACATTTCTTTCAGAAATTACTACTTATTAATACCTTTATCACTTCTGCATAACCAATCACCAACACTCGAAAACATTGGATAGTTATTGATAATTTTTGGATAACGCAACACTTCTGTTTTTTATCACAGACTAATATATGAACTTAATTATAAACACGATTACACAGCTTAAAGTCACTTCATTGAACTGTCTTTAGTTTGTTTAACTTTCTGAATATTTTAATTTGTATTGTGCTGAACAAACACACAGTTAAGGTAGACCAATTTAGTGTCAAATGCAAAATATGATCCTGGTTCAAATGTAATTGACTATAATAAATCGACCTTACGAGAAAGTAAGTTCATTAAGTGTTAAATTTAACAGTAAACATTCATATGATTCAATTTTGCATTCAGCTAACTTTACAATTGATTATATATCTTTAAAATATTACATTTCTACTACCGTACCTTTCTATTTTTATAAGCCACCAACCAATTAATATTGAGTTGTGATGACCAACCAATCAAACGATAAGAGTAACGGTGAAATAATAATGTACAGTTGAGCAAATGTTTCATTTGATTATGACCCTGAACTATTTATTTAATAAACAATTAAATCAGAACGTATATATATATATATATATATATATATATATATATATATATATATATATGCTTTCAAAATCATCAACACAATCTTCGCCACTGTCACCATCGTCATCATTATAATTAACCTTATTGATTATTATGAAGTTTTGCTTACTTGGTTGGAGAAATGTAAAACGAACAATTTTAAAGAAGCCCATTTTTGTCTTTGTATATTCACTTTTATTATTTTCATTAATTTTTCTAATTGCAAATTATTCAGAAAAAACATTCTTATCAGTTAAGCTAATTGGCATAAACACTCATAACGTGTATAAAAATTATGAACGATCATTCAGTGGATATGAGAATTTAATTTTCAACATTGATTATGCTAACTTTAGTATTGAAAAACAAAAACATGTAAATGTAAATTCAAAACGACATTTAGGTTCAATTGATACAAAGCTATTTGATATACAAGGTTTTATACTGAAAAAGAAATTCAATATGAATAATTTAATCTTATTTCCATTTGAAACAGACAATCCATATGAGGATGATAGAATATTAGCACAAATGAGTTATGTTCCAGTACAAGTGTTAGAAGTAAGTATGTTATACATCAACTATTGTAATATGGTTATTTATGTCTTAAGTTAAATAAAATGAATTTTGCTTTTATTTATCTATTATACAGTGTCTATTATTATGAAATGATGTAATCTGTCATTCAGCTATGAAAGATTCACAAGTTATTCACATTCAATCTTGTATAGTTGTTGGGTTAAACGTTTTTCTAATCTTTTAATGTTCGAAATGATTCTGAGCCAAGAAATAAAAAAAAATTAGTGAACGTTAATATCAGTTTCAATGACCTGGAATCACATTTCACGGAAAGTATTAATAAACATTAGTGGAGAAGTGTTTCTCTTAGATATATAAAGTAATACTTAGATTGGTTCCTCATGAAAAAACATTGGATTAAAACGTTCAGACCAGTTTATTGAGTGAATTACTAAAGCTAACAAATTTCAATTTTTCAGATATTTAAAAATGTTATTTTACATAGTAATCCCTTCATAACCTTTAATGCTATTACATATGTAGTAATATCATCAATAAATTGTCATAAACTGCTTACTTCTATGTAAACTCATTTCCATCTTATCATGCTTATTCCGATGCACAATACCACAACAATAATTTTTAGCTGAACAATGTATATCTAATTGCCAAGTACTATCACATAGATTTTCTTTCATTTCGCTAATTTTGAGAGTTTTTTTTTGTTAGACACTTTATAGTAGTTCATCAAATTATACTTGTTTTCATAAAGGTAAATACTGGTATTTAGTGTTTATTTACTTAAACTCGTTATTCTGTTATCGAATAACTCTTTGTCAAACCTTTAATATCTCTTATTTCTAATTTGTTTAATTCTTTTTATCACAATTGATTGATCACTGGGTGGTGATCAATGTCATGCTTGTTTAGTCCTTATTAGTGCAGATCGAATGCTATCGATCATGTTGCAATGTGGCCACCAGTCTAGGTGACTCGACACTCGACATCTCAGTCTTACAGGAGGTTAGTCACGGCTCGGATAGCTCAGTGGTAACGTCTCTGACTGTGAAGCTGAGTGACACGAGATCGAATCCGCCACGGAGCACCAGTTCCCTCAAGATTACAGGTACACCTTGCTGACGAGTGCCAAGTAGCACGAAACCCGGGTCCAGGGTTTCCTGTTGACTACCTCCAACCACCATCTAAATTCTTTTTATGTTAGTCATTATTTTACTGTTATATCATGTTTTAAATTGAAAACTGAATAATCATAGAGTTTGTTGAAAAAATGAAACACATTCAAGTTTCAGTAAACCATAATCATACTTGTATACAGTTGTATTCAAATCGTTTGAAGAAATACTTTTCAAACAGTTGATTTTTCCTCAATAATTTCTTTCAAATTCAATTTTTTTCTTAATAAACACTGTGAGACATGTAAGTAGTTGATTGTTTTCAGTACTGTTTTAGTATATACTACAACATTATTGTTGTGTATATGTATTACGGTAGTTTTCAGATCAAATATAATTCTTAAAATGTATGAGGAAAAAATATTTGTATGTCGTACTGGATTTTAGGCTCCTCACCTTCTGAACAGTTTTGAATGAATTTATAAGACTTGGCTGATTTACAGTTAATCTATTTTTGATAAATCACGACACTAAGAACAGATGGATTGCACGTTGTTAACAATACATTTCATTTCTCAGCTAATCTACAAATATTTCAAAACAAAATGCTTAAGATACGTTTGTAAATTAGAATTTGGTTAACAAGATTAGTAGGTAATCTATAATAGTAATGTTCTTCCGTTGTGTAACGCATAGTTGACTAGTGTTTATCACAGCCCACCTTGAACTGAGAATTGTTAACATTATTTAAAGTACATAATTTAAAAAAAATTGCCATTAAGGATAATCTAACAAGTTTCTGATGCAAATGTTTATACTCAAAATATTTTGTAGCTAATAATAATTGTCATTTTATTTGCTGCTTTTATAAACCTACCCTATTATCAACACATATTGATTTGGTTTATTTGCATGCAATCAAAAGACAATAGACTAGTAACAATTATTAAGGTTTAATTAAGTAACAAGGTCTATGTCAAACTATAGATAACGTCATATTTGCTTGAAACAATAATCAATAAGTTATTCAAAAACATTTCATCATGATACTAAGTGTAAAACCATACTGTTAATTACATTTTTCCAGTAGATGCAATTTTTTAAAGTTTTCATAGTTTGTTGGTTTGTCAGCATACAATCATTAATTCATTTACATCAATGAATAACCATTAAACGATAAATGGATTTAATCTCATGTGTAATATGCAAGTCAAACATCTACTTGACTGTTCAAAAGCCAGAATGAATAGTATTTTTAATAATTTAAGGATACTGAGTAAGTCAATAGTCGAAGGCTGGTAACCTCATGTATTAGTAATTCATTTTCATACATATTCCTTTTTCTAAACGAATGAGATAAATCTAGGTAATTTCTCATTTAAATTATGGATCGATTGTTCAGCTCTTGAATCAGTTAATTTTCGAGCATCAGGAACATGTTCAAACCTTACTAAATATTCTTTTGTTTGAATAACCACATAGAGTCAATAATTTATACAGAAACGATATAACTTGAAATACCAGTACCTAATTCTTTACTTGGTAAGTAACATTAGTTTTAACAATATACATTATCGTTATTGATTGATTTTAGTAAATTATTATCTTGTTTTGTGTCGCATGTATAGATTTTTTATACTATTGCTATTTTAGACCAACCTTGTTCTATATTAATTCACGTTATTGACCTCAGGACAACAAACATATTAGCAAACTAATATTTACTGTGTTTTTTCTATAATATAAACATTCCTTTTTTGATACGACATTAGTGTGATAAATTTTGTTTTAGAATTTATCATAATTCACTTTAGTAAATAGTAAAATATCGAAATATAAGTTTATTTAATTTTCTGAGTTGTAATAATTCATATCTATTATACATTTGTATTAGGCATTATCAAATTACTTCGAACTGGCTATAAGTATTTTAATGGTATTTAATGGTATAATAATGAGTTGCGTAATACAAAAGAACGTACATATTATAAATATCATCAGTATAGGGGTTGTGGAGATTATTAAGTTTTTTGATTGAGATCATGAACCGACTGATGTTAGACCACCGTTGGAAACCTGGAAGCTCTGGATGGCCGTTTCGTCCTATTGTTGAACTCCTCGGCAGGGCGCGTACACAATCCTTCTTGCGGGATTCGAACCCAGAGCCTTCAGTCTCTGGTTGATGTTAGGCACCAACACCATCGGGTGCTGGCTTAGTGTTCCAGTAGGTTAAGCGTTCGCGCGCGAGACTGAAGGCCCTGAGTTTGAATCCTGCGAGCGGGGACGTGGATGCGCATTGCTGAGGTGTCCTACAATGGGACGAAACGGTCGTCCAGTGCTTCCAGGTTTCCAACAGTGGTCTAACATCAGTCGGTTCATGATCCCAATTACAAATATCAGTTAGCTAGGCTTATGTTTTTCTAGTTCAGAAAATAATAAGTGAAATACAAAAAAAAATAAAACTGTTTCATTTTGAGAAGAATCATGGTTCCACAAGATTGAATTTGTCTTTCATTAATTATAATGGTATATCAAATTTTCACGTGTTACAACATAAAATCATATATATATATATATATATATATATATATATATATATATATATATATATATATATATATATATATATATATATATATCAAAAATAATATGAAAATACATTAATCTTTGTGACTTAGATACCATTTATACTGTGTAATGTACTTCAATCGAAAATTTATTTGTTTACTCATAAGTCGTTTGAAAAAAACTAGTAAACTGTTAAGAATGTCGAATAATCAACAATCTCAAAGTGATATACATATATTTCATGGATTATTTTTTTTAAAAAAAAGCATATAGGAATAGACAGATAGTTCCCATTTAAACATTAAAATTAAAACACGAATTTCGGCAAAAACAAACAGTACCATGTTTTCAGTTAACTGAGCATAGCAACGACAAATTTTCAGTCATTTGATTTATCAGACCTTTGTATATGTAATATTCATTTTCACAATATGGCAAGCCCACATATCAATACATGTTATTAATAATAAAGTGTTCTTTTAAGATTATGTCTTAAAAAAGGTTTTCAACGAGTATTACGTAATTTCTTACTGACTTTATTGCTAAATGCTTCTTAATAATTATTAATTAGAATTAAGCTACCATTTAGATAAAGATTTTACAACAAAATAATATTTACCATAGAACTATTACAAAATAAGAAACACTGAATATTTTGTCCGTTTTACTTTCAGTATCTTTATCAATGCATTAGTAAAATTAAGATTGAATCCTTGACTTTCAGTCATTGGAAGGAATACAATACTTTGAAACTCATTGATTCATCTTTCGAACTTAATTTTTATGTTATATAGCTGGATTACTGTGGTACCGTTTTAATTGTCATTACGAAATTAGAATTTTAGTAAATTCATTTCGAACTTGGTCATTTGGTTGCGCATTACAGTTTTGTGAAAATCTGAATCTAATTTCAATAAACCACTTTTATAAACTAACGTTAATTGGTGAATTATTTGATAAATTAACTGAATCATGATCATGCAATATTCTGCTTAGTTCTTATGACAATTAAAACAAAATTAAGTATAGATTTGTAGTTTTAAACAAAATTCCAACAGAATAAAGAATTTTAATAGTTGTGATCATGAATCAATTGAAGCTAGACCACTATGGAAAACCTAGAAGCACTGGACGGTCGTTTCATCCTATTATGATACTCCTCTCACTATTAACATTACTATAATATCTACAACAATCCCTTCTGAGAATAAAGAATGATGATGATAAATTCAATATAGCCAGTTAATTAATTAAATATAAATAAGTCTCAATGTTATTTAGAATACAAAGAAAGAAAAGAATAAACGAATGAACATTTCAAATAACCTTAACACATTTTGT